AGCGATTTCCTGAACTACAGCTCATCACCAAGTACTAAACTGGATCTCCCAGATCGCTTTTGGAGACTGGTGCTGCCTTCTGCTGGAGAAAACCCCACAAGGAGGAAACTTGTTGGGAGCCGAGCCGGATTACAAGACACGGACTCAATATGAGGTTAGATCTTGCTCTGTTTATTAGCCGAAGTGCGCGTATATTTATACCTGCAAGCATCTGAGGGATTTCCAGGCTAGCTATGATTGGTTCAGAAACTCTTCTAATTAAGTTCCCCATGGAGGTAACTGTCCCACCCCCACCAAATAGAAGAAACTAAACAAACTTTAAAAGTTTGCTTTTAATCTCCCCTTGCCCTCTTGTTCAGTACACAGGCCTGCAGTAGGTCCTGCCTAGCATTGCCATCAACCAGCGTCACAGAGCTTGTCTGAGAGCTCCTATGTGAGAAAGAGCAGACAGCGAATTCCCAGAAGAGCCAGGACCCTACAGCTCAGCCCTTGGCACTGCCCCGTGGCTGCCAACAGGTCTCAGCCTTCTGGGTCTCACCCACCCACACGAGAGCTTGGCGAGAGCCCAGTCGCACCTGCTTGGTGTTGACATGATAGACCAAGAGCTGCTGCAAGGCTGCGGACACGGAGTCACCGTCCCCGGAGAAGAGCTCAGCCATCACCTCGCCGATGCTGCTGTAGGGGATGGGCACTCCCAGCAGAAAGGCCACGGTGGGCACCAGGTTCACCTGGGGAACGGCCTTGGGCTCCTGGAGAGACACGGGAGGAAAGGGGAGCTTGGAAGGAAGGAGCCCAGGAACAGCTTTTCACCCAGGCCAGAGGGCAAGGGCACGGACAGCACCTTGGTCACATCCCACCCCCTCCCTGGAGGCCAGGGAAGCCGCCTGCCCTGCCACGCACTCAGCCCTGCAGCAAGTCAAGGCATAGAGATTCACTGAAGAAGTGAAATGGTCCAACAGAACCTGCATCCATTCCACCTGTAGTCTGTTTTTTGTGATTTTTTTTCCTAATAAGCTGGATTTTGCTTGATACAAGCTGATACCGATCATATTCCTGTCTTTTAAACTTACACTACCTGCACCCTGTGCCCGACTTTCCCCCACCCTCTCTAGAAGGGTGACAGACTCCCCGGCCCTCAGTCTCCATCATTCTCTGTATCCCCACGATGCAGTTTTCTCCCTGGAGGTCACCTCGGGCAATGAGCTAAATCCCCTCCAAGGACCAACATCCTCTCACCTCAGGAGGGGCAGTGCCAAATAGGGGTGTTTTGCTGTACACAAACAGTGCTGCATTCACTTCTTTCTCGCTGTCCCCACCATGGTCTCCAGTGTCCGTCATGCCATGGTCCCCAGCCACCAGAAGCAGGGTGTCATTTCCCAGATGATCTACCAAGGACCTGTTGCCAAGATAAGAAGGTCAGCCCCAGCCCTCTGGGAGGTGGGAGAGGACATGGTGTCCACCAAGCCTGCGTGCACCACAAAGGTGAAGCCTGCACAAGCAGCTGAGTAAAACTACGTGCTGCTGCAGAGCCATAACAAGGGAAGCAGGAATCTGCCCTTTTTCCCCACTCAAACTGACAAAAGCCCCTGTGGATGCATCCAGCAGAATGAATGCCCAAGTCCCAGAGCAACACACATTTCATAAACAAACTGAAAAGCCACAGCCCTTAGAGCAGTTTTTTCTTGCCCAGATCCCCCACAAATGGCAGCTACTCTTTTTGCCTATACAAAATAGGATTCAGAAGGGATGTCCCCAGCAGGAACAAGTTTCAGGCTGATCTTTTTTGGGGTTTGTGGTTCCCCTGTGGACATTCATGCGCTGACATTGTCCTGGGGCACAGCTAGGGTTCCAGCTGCTGCTGCTCAGGGCCATTCCCTGCGCTAACTGGCACAGTAAGAGCGTTCCCTGTTGCCCTCTGTGCCTGTAAATGCTCTAGGAACCACCCCACCAGCCTGGGCAACGGCAGAGCCAACCACAACCACATCGATCACCTGAGCATCTCATTCATCTGGATGAGCTTCTTAGCCATTTCAGGATGGTCAGGTCCATGTTTGTGCCCACAGTGGTCCACGCCGAGGAAGTGAGCAATGAGCAAGTCCCACTCGCCACCATCCACTGCAGAACAAGAGCAACTTCACCCTCTCCCCAAGATCTGAAGCCTCAAATACCCTGCTGGGTGCCCAGGCCTCCCAGCTCCATTAGCTGCTCCAGAAGGTCCTGGGGCTGCCTAGGCAGCCACCGATCAAGGTTAAGCTTGAAGGAAGAGATGCCCCTTCTGCTCCACCCTAGCAGTGTATTTCTAGGGCAGCTATAGAGGTCTAAGCTGTGGATGAATTCCAGCAAGCCAGGCCTTCTCCCAAATGGAAGAAAGGCATTTAGAGAAATGGTTTCTTATCCCCAAAAGAGGGTCTATCTGTGGAAATCCAGCTAGAGCACTGTAATCTACAGCCACAAGCAGGTGAGAGTGCCCACTGCCATTCCACAAAAAACAAACAAAAAACCCAACCACCCACACCCCAAACCATTTCTACCTTGAACTCTTGTACTAGGACCCCAGTGTAACAAAGATTCAGCCAATCCCTGGGGAAGAGTTACTTACCAGTTGGATAAAGATGCTGCAGGATCCTATCATCAACAATATGAAGATCCCTTCACACTAAAAGAAGGGAAGAAATACGAGCAGAAAAACTTCTTGGGGAAGAGTCCTTCCCAAGTGTCATCTCCCATGAAGACCACTCTCCTTCCTGGGGAAGCAAGGAAGGAATTAACAGGAGCAAGGAGCCCACCAGAGTCATGCTCTTAGCCAAACTAATGCAAAGAGTCTCAGCAGGTTCAGGAGAGGGGCTGGAGCACTGGCTGTTTTCCAGCCCGCACTCAAAGTGACCAAAAATTAAAATTTCCCACTGGTTGTTAGCATGTCTGAATGTCCCCACCAAAGGCCTCACAATCACACTGTAAAATATGAGACAAAAGAGGTCTATGGACAGAGAGCAGCTGAGCAGAAGCCTTGAGTCCTAGGCTCAAAATTTGACAACAGTGGTGGCTTTTCAAATGCAGGGAAAAGTGCAGATGTTTCCAATTGTCCTTGCTCTGCTTCCCCTATCCTGGACCAGCCACCCCCTCCGGACTTCCAGAGAGTCTCCCCAATCTGGGAGCAGGAACCATTTCCTCCACAGCTGCTGCCACAGTGCGGAGTCTCCTTCCAGTGTTTTCCGCCACAGATTTTACTGTGTTTGCTCCTCTTCCCCTTGCATGTGAGGTGCTGACAACTCAGTAACGTCACCCCAGCCCAGGTGCTGCTGGTAGTTGTACCACATAGAGTCCCGGCAGTGAGAACTGCGCCCTATCCCTCTCTCCTTACAGATGCTCCTGAAGGCTACGTTCTCCGAACACACATACACAGCACCGGATCACACAGCAAATAAGATGAGGGAGTTGCCCAACAGCTGCAGGCAGCTGGCTAGGCAGGCTGCGTGACACCACCACAGCGAACCTGGCACCACCACCTCCCACCCCGTCGCTCCCCTGAACGCAAACATGACTGACTGGCAATGCCCTTGGCCTCCTAGAGCCATTCCTGGTGCTGACCTTCTGCCAGTCACCAGTAGCATGGCTGTTACTACCTCTTTTCTCATCACCTTTGAGGAAATTCTACCCATGCTCCAGCTGCATGGTAATTAATTTCAAGTAATTGCTTGAACAGGCAGGGATGTTACAAATAGTCTCCTTTCCAGGGAAAAAGAAAAGCAAAGCTCCTCCTATAACGCCTACTCATGCTGGATACCCCCAGCGCACATACGCACCGTTCTGCGCCAGCAGGTTGTCCTCCTGGATGGCGTAGGTGGTGAAGTTGCTGCCCACGTCAATGAAGGTGGGCAGCGAGCCAGCGGCAAGACCCTTGATGCACTGCATGGTGGCCATGGCGGGGTTGGCTTGGAAGCGGTACAGGCGGCCGTGGCGAGGCTGCGAGGCTGCCAGGCGGTGCAGGAAGCTCAGCTTGTTTTGGTAGGGCAGCGGGCTCGCGTTGGCCGGGTCAA